AAAAAAGGACCATTCCTCTTAACCTTCCAATGAAAAGGCCATCTTGTATTGAATGGTGTAGAGATGTAGGGATGCATGCATCTAAATGAGATATCCCCAGTGTGATGATGCAAAAYCMMAGGACTGTCAGATCCGATGCCWGTTCATCCAATACTAACCTGAGTCCCAAGAATAATTTTTCACATCAATGTGGTTAAAACCCATAGAATTTATCAGTCCAAGGYCCTTAACTAAAGCCAKAATCTATGTGCTGGAAGAATCTCTTKATTGCARAWGACCRTTTTCTGCAYCTAATACTTATCCAACCTACAAGTGCTAGAATAACATCATGTTAATTTGTTCATGTACAAGGTGTATTGTCTGATGGATAGAAGTTTTATTTTAAYGTGGTCATGGCACTTTAATGTGCCTTATTTGCTGAATSTTAATCTTTTYGTTTTGTGGTTGTCATTGGCTTCATGTCACAGTATGGGCCTATTGTTGATATTGACTTGAAGATCCCGCCAAGGCCACCAGGTTATGCCTTTGTTGAGGTATTATGATATTCTATTTAGTTTTTTTTTTTAAATCCATTTTTAAGTGTGAAATCATCCTGTTGCCCATTTTATATTGGTTTTCCCTGACCTCATATTTGTTATTAGTTTGAAGATTCTCGAGATGCTGAAGATGCCATTCGTAGTCGTGACGGGTATAACTTTGATGGGCATCGGTTAAGGGTTAGTATAGTTTGTAATTTTCTGGTTTCACCTGTGCTCATTTATTAGTTAATACTTCTTCATTTCTTACCCATTTCATCTATTGTTTTATATCAATATAGGTAGAACTGGCACATGGTGGGCGTGGCCATTCTTCAACAATAGATCGTCGTAGTAGTCATGGCAGCGGTGGCAGCCGTGGAGGAGTCTCTAGGCGTTCTGAATACCGTGGTGTGTGTCCCAACCATCATAACTCTGATATTCATCTATAGGCTGGTTGTATTTCTTTTATCAAACTGCTCTTAATTTCTCTCTCGTGCAGTGTTAGTCACAGGTTTACCTTCTTCTGCTTCATGGCAAGACTTAAAGGTAACCATGATACCTTGTATACCTTGTTTCATAGACATCTTTTTTCTATGTACTGGTCTCTGTCTCTCTCCCTCTCTCATTACAAGTATTTTGTATGCAGGATCACATGCGTCGAGCTGGGGACGTTTGCTTCTCTCAAGTGTTCCGTGATGGTGGTGGTAGGTTACATTGAGCTTCAGTTTTTTATTTAGGTGGTGCTGAAAGCAGAATGTAGAGAAGATTCCAAACATAAAAATGGCCTAAATGGATAAATCCTGTAATCTTTTTGGTATATGATAAAATTATTAGGGGTAAATTAATCACCCTAATGCCTGTACTTCATCATTTGGAAATTAAGTCTTGAGTTGGTGAAATGCTGAATGAGACATTCTAAATTGGAAACTTTTCTGTATTCCTCTTTTATACCCCATTTCAGAAGTTATCAAACATTACCATAGGAGTTGGTGGTTGTATTTGTATTTGTTATTTGGCTCATTTTTGGTCTCTCCACTCTTGTTGTATATTGATGCAGAAAAGGTTATGAAAAAATTCACATAGGATTTGAGATGGGTGGCTGATGTTTCTTTGCAGTATTTTCTGACCAACCCAAAGACATTAAAACATTACATGAAATATATTATAAGATTGCAATATGCCTCTTTGTCCATTTTGGAGCAAAGAACTGGACAATTAGATAATAGTACATGGAGGGGAGATGATTAGGGATCTGGTGGTGGCAAGTCTTGGAAAGATATAATTAATGGTTAATCTATCAGAGAAAACTTAATTATGACCAGACGAAGTGTAGTTTTTTTATATTTTTTTTTTGCATGTTCATGGATGATGATCATTGATGAATTTACTTGACTGGGATGCTGGCTGTAAAGGCAGATGGGTTGGTTAGAATTCATGTTCATTGAGGCAGGGATTTTGTAAAATATGGATCAATGGTATCATGACCCTAGATCATGGTTGCTTATTACTCTGGATAATCTTGGGCTTTGGAGAATACTTAAAATGATGATGATAAAGATTTCCTTGTCTGACTGTTTGGGGGCTGTGCATTCTCATAAGTTTTGGTTGATGAGATTTCTTTTTATACCTTTTTTTTGATAAGTAATTTCTTTTCATAACTTTGTGATATTTCTTTGTGTATGTGGTGAATGTATTTTATCTTCATTTTTTACCTTATTGTTTATGCCTTTATGGTGGTGTCTGGCATGCATTTTTTTTTCTTAATGAAAACTGTTTGGCATGCATTTTATGAACACTGAATAAATACATATTATATAATTCCATTCAGGTTTCATTTGTATTGTCTGTAAACGGTTCTTCCTCCCTTATTTCTTCTTTGGTTCTTGTTTTTTCATAACTGGCTAAAATTTAATCCAACATTTAAGCTGCAAGTGGTTGTTAAAGATTGCAAGTTGTGATTGAAATTTTGCAGGGGGACTGTTTTCCCCTCTCTCTTCTTGTTACTTTCAATTTGTTTAATGTGCATCTGTTTGCTTATCAAAAGGGATATGGTACTTGTAAAGTAAAAAAAAAAAAAAGATTCTATCTCTGTATGTATACTTGTGAGGGAGACTTGAACCAAAGGGTTTAATGCCTACAACTTGGAGACCTTTCTGATTCCTTTGTTTTTTTCAGAAATATGGGGGCATTTGATTTGAAGAATTAAAAAAAGTGGGGTACTTGATTTGAAGAGTTTACACTGCATTGGGCTTAGGCCCTTGGGTTGGGACCTTTCAAAATTTGACATATCTTCAACCTGAGCTTGTCCGAGTTGCACCTCTAATTTGACTTCTTATTTGCCTTTCCTTTTTTGATGTGAACTTGGAAGTGCTCTCTAGCTGAAGTTCATAATCAGTGCATTTCAGAGATAAACAAGTTGTATTTATTATGACTTTGCAATAACTGATGTTAGTTGTGGAATTTCTGCTTGAATTTTTGATTGCTAGAATGATAATATTGCACTCCATTCTAGGGTGTCATGCTAATGTTGTCAAAACTGCACAATTTGAATCATAAATCCTGAGGGGTTTTGATTTGAATCTTGTATATAAACCTTTTCTGCAAAAATCTTTGGACTTTTTTTTTTTTGAATCCTACGATTTGATTCATAAATCTTACATTTTATATGATTCCTGTGATTCAAGTAAATTCAATTAGGTGTTAGTTCTGTACTTTGTCTTTTTTTTTTTAGTTTTTTCAAGGGAGACTTGTTTTAATGCCCTAGCCAGAAACTGGTTTATTTGCATTAAGTTTATTTTCCATCATACGATTTGATTCGTAAATCTTACATTTTTTATGATTCCTGTGATTCAAGTAAATTCAATTAGGTGTTAGTTCTGTACTTTGTCTTTTTTTTTTTTAGTTTTTTCAAGGGAGACTTGTTTTAAGGCCCTTGCCAGAAACTGGTTTATTTGCATTAAGTTTATTTTCCATCATATGTAATTTAAGGAGCCATTGTAAATGGATTATTTTCCTTTTAAGTCAGACTTAATTGTATCACCTTAGTCTTTTATTGTACAAGTGGTAAATTATATTGTATTAGGTACATAACTACATATATAGTAGACATGGATTAAAAATAGGGCAAAATTGCCTCCCTTTGAATGAATAGTTACTTTTTCTCAAAAAAGGTATACTTTTATATATATATATATATATATATTGTTACCGTCATCGTCGTTGTCATCATCATCTAAGCCTTTGATTATGTATATATTTAATTTTTTGACAATTTTGTAAAAAATATAAATAATCTTATTGTSTAYGATATGATWCATGATTTGATYTGATTCAACTTTATCTATTATTTATAATATGGTTATGATTTTCATAACGTTGTTTTGTGCTACTGGGGAGGTGGATCAATAGTGCTATCAAATTGGAGAACAGGTTGACTGAAGTCTATTAGACAATTATTAATTCGGCATTGCTACAATGATGGACAGTCAACAAACAATGCCTCTGTTTGGCGCGCCTTTCCATGTGGGTTGTCGGCTGTTTAGAAGCCCGGCAGCCTGCATTTTGGTCTTTTCCTGTTTGGTTGGGAAAAGATCTATCCACCAAAAGATGTCTTCCTGAAATGACGCATGAAGCCTGTTTTGGGCTATTTTTGGGAAGCTCCAAATGGAGCTTTTTGCCTTATTCATCACGACTTCGCGCGGGAAGACACGCCTTAACCAAACGGTGTTCAAGCTGCTAAGATCCTAGTGCAAAATCTCACATCGACTTTTGGCTGTTAGGTCTGCCGGAAGATCTTTAAAAAGATTTGCCAAATGGCACCGATATGTTCCAGAAGGCTATGATTGGGTGTAGTTGAGAACTTGGGATGCAATGACTGAGGTAGGACTGGATCTGGCCAGGCAGACTTGTGAAAAATCTTAATGAAAAGTTACCGTTTCCTATAAAAAAACCCTTGTGAAAAATCTATTGTTTTTATCACCAGCTTTGAGCCATAAGATTCTAGACTTCTGCATCTACAATATTTTGGCCATAGTCTTCCAATTCATCCCTGGCTACCTCCCTTTGCTGCCTCTCTTCAGCTGATAGTGAATTGGATTCCTCTTTTAAGTCCAAGCCTTTGGTTTGAGCTCATGTGATCTTATTCCTCCCAAGAATGCACCCCACATCTTCCTTGCACCATTGTTTAATATTGTTTTTGAGAAATTTAAGCTTCCTACAAAAAGATTCACAACACACACCATATACTTTAAGTGGAATGGTCATGTAACTTTAAGTGTGAAGCAAATAAAGTGATGTAGGTCTCCTCCTCAGCTACCTTACCAAAGGGATGCTTCACTTCTATTTATGTCTTAAACGTCTATTTAAGTAATCGTTATTTTCCAATTAATATAAATAGCTGTTAATCAAAAAAAGGATATAATCATAGTTGTTGCTAAGCTGCATAATATCTGAATTTAGAGGTTGTTTTAGGCATAAGTATTAACGATTTGGAGAAATGAAACCAATTTATCTATTTTCCCATATTCTTCTTTTATTCATTTGTTTTCTTGTTTGGTGGTTTTGAAGTATATGTTTTTTGTTTTGATTTTTCTGTAGGTACGACTGGGATTGTGGATTACACAAACTATGAAGACATGAAATATGCTGTGAGTTAAATCTTTTACTCTTTTACTGCTTTTTATTTTTATTTTTTTTTTAATTTTAATTATTATTACTTTCTGTTCTAAATATCTGATTTCTTTCTATTGACAGTATTTTACTTTTTTTACAATAAAAATGATATTATACCTTTTCTTTATCTGCAGATTAGGAAGCTAGATGACTCTGAGTTTCGGAATGCATTTTCCCGTGCATATATACGAGTATGATTTAATAACTTGTCAATAGTTTTATGATGGATATGGCATGAAATGGAACGGAATGACAAAACAGCATTCATGTAACTTGGATGATGATGATGATGATTATTATAATTTAATAACTTGTCACTCTGAACCCTTTCTTTTGTTCTTTGCACGGCTTTTACGCTTGTATTTGCCTACTTTAGGTGAAGGAGTACGACTCAAGGCGGAGCTTATCTAGGAGCCATAGTCGTAGCCGGTCCCACTCAAGAACTAAAAGTAAAAGCCCTAGTCGCAGTCGCAGTTATAGCAGAAGCCGGAGCCAAAGGTTTGTTTCAGTGGTTTGTTTTTGGTCATTTTGCAATTCAGTTATGAATGTTGATTATATGATTCTTAACTAAACTAAGTTAATTCTTATGCAGTAAATCCCCAAAGGCCAAGTCTTCTCGTCGTTCTTTGTCTAGATCTCGATCAAGGTCTGTTTCTTCTCGCTCCCATTCAGGGTCAAGACCACGCTCTTTGTCAAGGTATGTATTTCTGTTTCCACATGGTCGTTTTAACATACATTATAATTTTTTTTTCTTGTTGTTAACTACATTCTTTTATAAGAGTTTGCATTTCTCTGCTTAGGTGGAAGCATTGCTTTCTTTCAGTACATTCCTGTTGTCTGTTAAGATGTCTTGTTCCATGGGTTGTTATTATTTGCAGAACCTTCCATGTAGACCCTTGTAAGAGTTTGTGTAACTTCTGATTAGAAGTTGGTTTGCCAACTAGTCAACCAGCATTTTGAGATGTACTGCTTTTTTTCAGTTTAATGAAATTTCTTTTTATCCTTCAATAAAAAAAGACCCTAAGAGTTCTTGATTTCCTCTTTTTGTTGCCTAGTTTTTGGTTTTGACTTTGCATTTTTGGTTCCTATATCGGCCTCCCTCCCCTTTTTGTGAACTTCTGTGCAACATAGGTAGTTTTCAATTATTTGTTGTATTGAGAGAAGTCTTTGTATATATCCATCATTTGCCTTCCAGTAATACATATTGCTCGCACAATTGTTCCTTCCCTTGTGGTGTTTTGGTTGTATTAGCTTTCAAATGAGCTTTCAAACAACCATTCTACACCAACCACCAGCTAGATCTTTTCTCTATGGTTTTCACACTTAATGATATGTGCTTGTTTTTATTTTTCTCATTATTTTGCCAGATTTAATGCATCCTTAGACTGTTGCGTTTTGATTTTTTTGGCTACTAATGAAATGCATGTACATGCATCAGTAAGGGTACTCATATTCAGAGTCCAATTGCATTGTTTTCCAGTGATTTCTGATCTTCAGTCAAAAGACTCAAAACCTTATTTTGTGAAGTCCTATGTTGACCTTTATTATCTTTTGAGTCCTTGACGACCTTCTTTTAGGATGTGCAATTGTTCTAACATTTGAAATAATTGCAAGATTTTGTGTTTATCCATCTACTTCAGTTGTATCTTTGTATATGCTTTTTATGTTTGCATCGGGGTAAGGTATGCCAAGTACATTGTAAAGCATATCACTGGTATGCCGTTGATAGACAGAAACAAGAGATAGATGATGATTTGACTCTGGTCTAATGTATAGATGTTAGCAGGATAATATGACATGTTGCTTGGCGAGTTGGCATGACCTCATTTTATAGACTGGGGTGTCTTATGTACATAGCCAGTGTATCAACCTCTTATGATTTTAACACATGGATCTTGTGTAATTTATTAGTTAATTTGTAATAATTACAAAACAAAGAAATGGATGGAAACAAAAATGAAAGCAGCCTGCCAAAAGGATATATATGCTTTGAATATCCCCTGGCTGATTCCAATAGAGCTATCAAGAATCCTTACCTTTGCTCAAGATCCCCCCCTGGTACTTATAGCCAATAAAAACCAGAAAATAGTAATTTGTGATTTGTCAATTATAATCAGTTTTAATGTAAAGCCATTGCCCAATGCGTCTTGGGCCCTTGGCCCTTGGGAGGGGTGAACTGGATATGGACCTAAATTCTGACATTTCAGCACATAGCGGTCGCATCCATACTTGATGCTGCATTCTCCCGTTTGTTAGCCTAAGATTTTACCATCACAGGCCGCAATGATCATTACTGGATTCCTTTGAAGTACAAATCATTCCCAAGAATAGAAACCTATTGAAAAGACAAATTGATGAAACTGACTGTTTCTCCTATATGGGCCTTGTTGCTGGTGGTAAAATTATGGTACACAAGGAAAAGAAAAAGATTTTTTTTTTTTAATGGAAAGGCATTTGATAGAGTCTTCTCTCGTTAGAGATGACAGCTTTTGTAGCATGCAATTGTTTGATGGCACTGTAGTTTTTTTTTTCTTGGCTAGTCATGGATTGTATTCCTCTACTCTCCATAATGGTATACACAGTATGTAGAACTGTCCTGGTAAGACTCGGAGTTGTCTTGCTACAATTTCTTTGTTGCTCTTATTTTCTCCTTTTCATTGTTTCTTGCACTTTTTCCACTTATTGTTCCAAAGTGGATGGGGGATAGCTGAGAAAACGCACACCAAGGTTGCCGAATTATCATCCCTTGTTCATAAAGGTTGCCTTGTTTGTTTTCTAGATATGGCATTATGCGGCGATTTGGGGATTGCATATTAGGAACTTGATTGGATATGGTGCAAATGCCTGCAACTCTTTTGGTTGTGGAGGTATGCTGTTTCATGGATGAGCAGCTTTATAAACCTGGATTATATATTAATTCTTTACAAATTATGCATAGCACGCCCATGGGAGCTAGAGCTAGAGTGGGGAAGGAGAGGATGAGCTGCGATATTAAAGCTGGATTACTGTGTACTAAATGCTATTGGGACCAACCACCAATCAGCGGTAGAAACAAATCCAAAATCACTTTGTGGTCCAACATCGCCATGCTTGTAGGAGTTGCGCTCAGAGTCCTCTTTGGATTTTGGTGGTACAAATGGGAATGATGTTCCTATCCTAACCTCTATATCTTAACTATGTTACTGTGCCATTATCCAGATTGCCAATATATCATTGTGCTTTCTATTTAGACATGTTTCTTCATTGGGTCAATGATTATCAGCGACTTGCCGGGTTCCTCTTTGTTGGGAAGGGAGTCTTAATGACTTGTGCTCTCTGTGTTGAACCATGCTAAAGTTTTATGGTGTTTTTTTTTTTTTTTCCTTCTTTTGCCTTTTGAATATGGTTGCTCTGACGTGGAAGAGGCGTCCTGGCTTTTGGATCAAAGGTGTTAAAAGAACGTTGTGGATATTGAATTGGGTTATTTCTGGAACTTTTGCAGATCTCCATCAAGATCGAAATCTCCATTACCCTCTGTAAGTTAAAATTTGTGACTTGAAAACTCTTTCAATTGGGTACTTCATGTATTTCTTTACTCAACCTGCAATGTGCAGCCTCGTAGCAAACGTGTGAGCAAAAGCCCAAAGAAGCAGAAGAGCCTTAGTCATAGCCGGAGCCCAAGCAAGAGTCGTAGCCGCAGCTTATCTCGGTCTCGATCTCCATCTGCATAGTCATTTCTCTGTTAGTTAATGATGTTTCCTTTCCCTTGCCTTGATTGCCTAATTGTTTATTGGTTCTGATAGCATCTTTCTATTATTTACAGGTAAGATCTGGCTGCAGATGATCTGACAACTCATGGTCTTCTAGTGAGGTTGGTGTTTGCTACTATGCTGGATAAAACATTCTTGATAAACTAAACAATGGAAGAGTTGTACTGGGACAAATTTAGATGTTGGAATTAAACAGTGATTTATTATGCTTCTCCTATGATACTAAAAAGATAAAAATGCATGTCCTATTAAAACAATGACTTGAAATTTTGTTGGTTTGGACCTTAGAACTCTTGCTTTGTTTCTGTCTAATTTGTTCATCTTGATTGGAGATTACTAGTTATTGGTAGGAAAATAAGCAACAAATGCATAGTGTATTGCGCACCTAATTTTGTATGATCACGCTTAGGAATCCTTCTCTCTCTTCCTATTCGTCTATTCCCAGCCAATTCTTCGGAAGGACCTCCCTAGTCCCAATTCCCAAGTCTCAATCGGATTCGTAAATCGGTTGGGCTCTCGGGATGGCAAACGGCAACTATGTTTATGTTCTCCAACGTTTCCAAATTGGTTCTTGTGAAGTGGTATGTATAGCTTAGGCCGTTTTTACAGCTTGACCTGGATAGTGGATACGACCAAATTTTCAAATGTCAGTAGGGTCTGATACGCCGGATGTGGTGTATCGGACTTTTCTAGGTGATGTTTGGCATTGTAGATGATTCTTTCTTGCCGATTATTACTGCTTTTTTGAAGTGGTCATCTTTGAAAAATTACTAAAAATTGCAGTTTGTTTGGTACTTATTTTCAAGGGTGATTATTTTTTTTGGAATCTATTTTGCATATTTTTTTGGTAACAAAGTATTTTGCCTATTGATGAACCACAGTTTCGATACATGTGATGTTGACCGGTATGGACTAATACGTTGCAAAGTTTTGATCTTTGGCTGCAACCCAACTCAGAATCCTTATAAGGGAATGATTGGACGTAAACTGGTGGTGTATCATTGTTTTTTTAAAACTAACCGGTGACTGAACCTGTCAGGGTCTGGTTATTGGTTTGAACGTTCTGACTGTTTGACTCGAATGGCCGGGCCATTCTGACAAAAAATTGGAAAATGGTTTCAAAACCATTCGAATGATTAATCGGTGAATTCAGCGGTTTGCCGACCAAAATCAACGGTTTTGGGGCAAAATGGAACTGGTTCTGGTTCTTCTGGGCCGGTCCGGTTGTAAAAGCAATGTTGTTTATATCAGTATATGCATAGAGTGGCACCAGGCTGAGCTCTGTCAAGAAATCAGCCGATCTCCACACCCACAAATATGTAGGAAGACCATTGGATCATGAAGACTCGTCCCTCTTACCAACAACATTGGATTATTTGTTTACATCCGGTTCCGGTTGAAATTGGGTTTAGAATATCTTAAAATGATTAACAAAAAATATTATATATAACCAGGTTGAAATTACTTTAGTATCATACATCAGTAGTAAATAGTAAATACTATTTGCACTAGTAGAGTGCAAATGAAAATAATGCAAATTCTAGTTTAATTTTGTTTTCGCTTTTATTTCATTTTGTTTCACGTTTTGTCTTACTTTGTTTATTTGTATTGTAATCAAACAAAAGAAAGTAAAATTTAAAACAAAATTATATCATTTTTTTTTATATAAAACCTTGCTGTTCTACACAAGCCAAGGGGTAGCACTCCCCCTAGTCAGACGAGTTCATTTCCTTGCTAGTCAGACGAGTTAACTTGTGGTGTAATAAATAAATCAATATAATGTAAAATATAAAACATTATAATTTATATAATATTAAAATATTCTTTTTATCACATTGTACATTAAAAAATGTGTAAAAATGGAAAGAAATGTTGTTAATGAGAGAAATGGCTAAATAAGAAAAAGATAAAATAAATATTTTATCCATGACCATTTACTTGATCAAATAGGCCAACCGTTCATAACTAGTTGGGACCCGTGTGATGTACGGTCTTTGTTAAAGAGAAGTTGAAGCAAAAGGGTTAAAATTATTAATTAACAATTTTATATCCAGTTTTAAAAAATTACAATTATAATTATAATTTTTTATCAATAATAATAATTAATAATTCTTTTTATCATTTAATAAATTTTATTATTTTATGTAAATAATGTATTTAAGTAATTACTAATATATAGTTATTATTTTTAGTTTATGAATTACTTATTGTCATTAATAATAAAATTTTAACAATTATTGTTATTCAAATGTACTTTAAATGAATTTTTTATTGGGATTTTAGACTGCACTCCAGCTCAAAATTCTGAATTTCATTGTAGACCTATAACAATTCAAAATTTAAAATAGCTCTACCTATAACACCAATACCTGCCTGTGTATTGGCATCAATTCCGAGTTGGCATCTACCCCAATTGTACAGTAGAACTAAGATTTGTTTGGGTGGACTATACATTAAAAACCCATTTTTTATTCTTAAATAGAAAAATACATTTTTATAAAACAGATTAATCAAAGAGAGATTCCTTAAAACTAGGGGTGGATTCGAGCTGAGCCAAATAGTTCAAACCTCGGCTCGGCTCGAGACTGTTCTACAAGGCTCAAACTCGGTTCGAGCCATAACCTTGAACTCGAACTTGACTCGAGTAAAAAATTATAAGCTCGAACTTGGTTCGACTCGAGCACGATATTTAACGTTCGTTTTGAGGATGATAACTACGGCCAAGAAAAGTGGTGTTCATCTGTAAATATATAATTCACTATGCCCCTGCTAGTGATGTCGTGCGTGCTGGGCCTGGGCTGCTTCTTCCCCTAACCAAAGTCCTAGTGTTATGTAGTCTGACTTTGCAGATGATTGAGAATTGGGAAGGATACATTAGACAATATAATGCCTGAATTTTTATTTGGACTTGCGTCACACGTGCGCAATTTCTAGACGTGCTGCGGATTAAAGAATCTGGGTTTGCTTTGATTAGTGTGTTAGTTTTTGTCTTACAATAGCAGTAGGTGAATGTTTCAGAAGTGTTTTGTTTTAGATGGAGGAAAAAACAAATGTATAAAAATTGTTAATGACAAGGGTTTATTAACACAGGGCTTTGGGAGGAGGAATAGGACTTGCAGGAACCGCCACTGCTTTTCGTGTATCGTGAGATATGGGGATTAAAAATATTGCAACAGCGGATTTTAATGGAAGGCTAATGAAAGGGGGTCTTCGTCTCGCGGTTATAGTATAGGGGTCTTTGTCGCAGAACAAAGTACATGGGGTATTTGTCACATACCCCATAGTATAGGGTCTTTGTAATTTATCCTTTAGTCCTCTTTTGTTTAGCGGTAAGTTGAGGTGGGAAAGTAGACCAATTTTCCCATGTTCTTTTTCCATAACACGTTGGGCTCACGGAAATTAAAGTTTCCCCTAGGTAGGTTTAAGGCTACTTACCCTGGGAAAAACTTACCCACCTCAGAGGTGGGTAAGTTTACTTTCCCAAGTCGAAAATACCCATGTATTTTTAACAAGCTTAGGGCAAAGCTTCTTCCCCAAGCTCATATTCAGGAAGAGTATCCATTGTCGATTCGTGGAAGAGTCCTCTACAGAGTTGATCGATAAGTCTTCTTCTCTTTTTGCTTTTCGATCATAAAATTACAACTAGAGATCCATGCCTTTTTCTCTATGATTCGGGTTCTGAATCTTGGGTTGTTTCGATGAACAGAGAGGATTGTCAACAGATTTGCCACCCTTGAAGGTGAGTCATGGGTTGCCTGAATCAATCCTTGTCTTTTTCTCGATTTTCTTTGAAGTTGGTTCATTCGCATTGCTAGCAATCTATGTTCATATTTAATGCGAACTTGTTGTGGTTTTTACAACTTGGAATCGATCTAGAACATCCACAGTTTTATTTGGTTGATTGTAGTCGAAGTAGAGGAGGTATGATTTTCACTTGAAACCTGATGGAGGGAGATTTAGCCCGACCCCTTGGCTGTGCGACACAAGGAAGCAATCGCGTATGACCTGACAGGAGCGTCAGCTCGGCACAACGACCTAGCCATATCTCAAGAAGAGGCCCGAGCTCCCCCAGAGGAGAGGCCCCGAGCTCCCCAAAAGGAACCCACGCTTCCTATAAGGTAGAACTCGAGCTTTCCCTATCAATCCCGAGCCTTACAAGGAACCGCGCGAAGGGCGAAGCCCGAATTGACCCACCTCGGGTCAGTCCGGGCCACACTCCTATCCGAACTCAATACTTCACCTTGGGCACCACCCCGACACTTTAGCTCTAGGTCGCATGACTGAATAACCGTACCTGACAAAGAAGTCTGTACTCTGAGGCAGCGCACCTGACTGATCAGGGATTAGGTTGAACGGCAGAATAGCCGCTCTGAGTCATTTTATGTCCAAATTGGCAGACCGTTGCCTGCCTTTCTTTAAGGCAATGAAAAGCAAAGGGTTTGAATGGAACCTAGGTTGCCAGCTCGCGTTTTACGAGCTCAAAAGATACCTCGCCAGTATCCCAGTTTTGACCTGGCCCGAAGAGGGCGATGTCCTAGAGCTGTATCTCTCAGCAAGTGACGAAGTGGTCAACTCGGTACTAAAAAAGGTAGTAGATCGGGTCCAACGACCCATCTACTATGTTAGTAAAGTGTTGCAAGGAGCGGAGACGAGATATCCGGAGATAGAAAAACTAGCCTATGCATTGATCATTGCAGCCCGCAAGCTCCTCCCATACTTCCAAGCCCATACCGTTATCGTCCTCACCGACAAACCCCTGAGGCAAGTGTTACTCAGGCCCGAGGTCTCTGGTCGATTGACGAAGTGGGCCATCGAGCTCAGTGAGTATGATCTCCAGTACAAGCCGCGAACTGCTATCAAGGCCCAAGCCTTGGCAGATTTTGTTGCGGAAAGCACATTCAGCTTCGAAGACCCTAGCTTGGTTGAGCACGAAGCCCCCAATCCGGGCGAGGTCGGTGCTTCCAGGTCGGTTGAGTCTGAGCCCCGTGAGGTCGCACCCAGTTCGGTATCTCTCCTGGTTAGGCCAAGCGCGAACTGGGATGAAGAGCCTTGGATTCTTCACGTAGATGGCTCCTCAAATCATCCGGCCAGCGGAGCCTGAGTAGTTCTTCACGATCCGAGTGACACAAAATTGGAGTACCCTCTATGTTTCGAGTTCGTGGCATCCAACAATGAGGTGGAGTACGAAGCATTGATAGCCGGGCTAGCCCTGACCCAAGAGGTAAGAGCAAAACACATCGTCATCTGTAGCGATTCCCAGCTCGTGGTCAATCAGGTTACAGGCGAATACGAAGCCCGTGAACCG